GGAGGAGGGGGCTGGGGTCTGCACTCCTGGGTCTGAGGGAGGAGGGGCTGGGGGTCTGGACTCCTGAGTCTGAGGGAGGAGGGGGCTGGGGGCCTGGACTCCTGGGTCTGAGGGGGAATGGGCTGGGGGTCTAGACTCCTGGGTCTGAGGGAGGAGGGGCTGGGGTCTGGGCTCCTGGGTCTGAGGGAGGAGGGGCTGGGGGCCTGGACCCCTGGGTCTGAGGGAGGAGGGGCTGGGTGCCTGGACTCCTGGGTCTGAGGGAGGAGGGGGCTGGGGTCTGGACTCCTGGGTCTGAGGGAGGAGGGGCTGGGGGCCTGAACTCCTGGTTCCTGCTCAGAGTAAGCACTAGGTAGGCAATTCCAGAGCCCGACTTTGGGACCCTGGGGTTCTGAAGCTCTCGGGTCAGACTCTGTGACACAGCTGCCACTGTGGTTGGTCCCAAGGCTGTGAGGGAGATGTGTGGGACCGGGAGAGCTGTGGGGGCCAGGCAGCAATCGAGAACCCCAATCTCTGTCTGCGTCTTCGATGCTGCTACCGTGACGGGGTCTGCTACCACCAGCGGCCAGATGGTGAGTGCCTGGAAGTTGGGCCCCTGGGGCAGCTGAGTCTCCTGGGTCTCAAACCTGCCTCCTTTGCCCAGAAACTATGCGGAGAAAGCACATGTGGGCGCTGGGCTGGACATGTGGAGGCCTCCTATTCCTGATCTCCAGCATCTGCTTGTTCTGGCAAGTGGGGTTGGGGCTGAGGGTGGGCTCCCGCACCCCCAGAGGAGCAGGCAGACGGTCAAGGCTGAGTGTATGCCCTCCCGGTCAGGTGGGCCAAGCGCCGCGATATGCTGCACCTTCCAGAGTTCTTAAAGGGCAAATGTGACCTGTCAAGGACCGTCTCTCTGTTATCCAAGGACCGGGGGACTTCGAGCAAAAAAAAGTCATCGGCTGGCAGCATGCCAAACTCCCCTCCTCTGGAGGGGGCCACGGATGTGTCAGGGGCCACCGAAGGGGAAGGGACGACAGAAGGGGGTGATGAAACAGAAGGGGGGGAGGACGAAGATTAGGGGCACCCCTGGGGGGGCCCCTCAATACAGACATAGCATATAGACGCGTGGTCTCTTTTCTAAGAACCATGGGGGCAGAGGGCCCATGAGCTCTGGGCAGGGAACATGTGTGTGCGCGTGTGTGTGTGTGTGTGCGCACGAGGGGGCCGGGAACTGGGCTGTGATCATGGGGGTTCTGGGCTGAGTGGGGTCTGGAACCAGGGAGGGGTGGGTCAGTGGGGGGTGGCCTGCAGCTCTCCTGCGGGAGCACCACTGATGGACAGCCTCCGCCGTGGACCCTTGGGATCCTGCCCCCTCCGCCAGCACGGTGCCATGCCTCCCACCGATGCCTGAGCATGGCAGGGCTCCCTGCGGGACATGGGCCACCTCCGGTGGACGACGTTACTCTCAGACTCTCCAGTGGCTGGGTGGAAATTCTCCTGGACGCGTGTGCAGTACAAGACTTGTGCTGCCCAACCCTCCTGTCTTCCTCAGGTGCCACACCCATACCAAGTACCCTCCATAAGTACTTCCTTCCTGGGTGCCTGGGTGGCTCAGCGGGGGCGGACTCTTGATTTCGGCTCATGTCATGATCTCAGGGTCATGAGATCAAGCCCCCTGCCAGGCTCCTTGCTTGGCGGGAGTTGGCTTGAGATTCTCTCGCTCTCCCTCTCCCTCGGCCCCTCCCCCTCTAAAATAAATAAATAAATCTTTTTTTTTTTTAAGGTACTTCCTCCCAATAAATACTTTGTGAGTCTAATTTGTCCCTCTGTCTGCTTCTTGGAGGACCCCCATACCAGCCGAGGGGCATAGGCTGAGGGGCGTCTGGACTCAAGATCCTGGCACCACTCTCCCATGCCCCTCCGTGAGGGCCAGTGTGAAGCTGGGCTCCAAGGTCCCCAAGGGCATGGGTGGCCCTTCTGCAGGTGTGGCCTGGCCCCAGTATTGTCCCTCTCCCAGACAGACACACAGTGCTATGAGGCAGAGCCATTTATCCAGGGGAGGATGGGGCAGACAGGTAGTCATCTTGGTGGCCCAGATGATGGTGGGCGCAACTGTACACCGCAGTCCAGTCCTGACAGGTGGATCCGTGGGTCCGTCTGCAGGAGGAAGGGTGGGGTTAGTGGTTGTGCAGGACCCCTCCCAGGACCCATGCATTCCCAGGGCCCCGGGCCCAGCGGCCTGAGGGGCAGGGGAAGGGAGCCCTTTCTTCCTGCTTTAGTCCCTCATACATTGACTCACACACCTGCTCAACTGCTCCTCCACCCCTCCACGCCCCCATCTGCTGCAGCGTATTTGCCTCACTGGGGTCCAGAGGTACAAGCTGGAGAAGGAGAGACAGGAAGTCAGGACAGAGGAAGACATGTAGAGGGAATGACGGGTACAGAAACAGACACAGGAGACAGACACAGAGAAAGAAAACAAAACATAATGGCTTTTGCTGGGTGGCTCTGTCTGTCTACTCCATTCATTTTGGTCCCAGAGGGGGAAGGGAGAGACCCGAGCCAGAATCTTCAGGTCCCTCTGTTAAAATTCAAGTTCTCCATCCTTCGTGTGCTGGAAGCACTTCACCCCGCCCACTAAGGAGTCCTGGGTTTGAACAGACCTATCTTCGTTCGAAGAGGGGCCTACACTCCAGCCAGCTTGGCCCATGTTTCTGGCAGGTGGTTCCAGCAGGAGATCGGCCCAGCTGTGTTAGACTTTTGGGCAAGGTAAAGGATTTTCACTGCTGGTGGGTGGTTCTAATTTCTGTGCCAAATTTTGTGTGAGCTGATGCCTCCTCATCTACGCATACATCTTGTCTTAAACCCGTCTCCTCCTCTGAGCTACAGAATGCAGCTGATGATTGGAGTTACTATTTTCTCAGTTCTCATGAAGAAGGGTGTATAACTAGTCCCATTCTGGATGCACAGGAGAAAAGTTAAATTCATCACATACAGAGAAGGTCTTAGCATGTCAGGATTTCATTCTTTTACGGAACTCCCATTCAAGAAACTGAGTCAGTCACTCATCCATTGTTGACATTGCTCCTCCTCTCCATCTACCCATTGGCCAACCCATCCATTCTCTCAGCTACCACCCTATCTGTCCAAACCACCCGTTCCCCAATTCTGATGAATCTTACCAATTCATCAGTCTACCATATCCATCCATCCACCAATTGAACATTCATCCCTCTATCTGCCCACCCATTCACCAGTCTGTCCACTCATCCATCAGCCAACCCATCCACCCGTCAAACAACCCATCCGTCCATCCACGCATCCACCCACCGACCCAGTCACGCTTCTCTGACTTCCTGAGCTTACTTTTTGCAGAGCAATGCTAAGAATGAAGACACCAGAGACCCAGGCATTACCATCAGGGTGCTCTCTGTCCAGCAGGAGAGGCAGTACCAGCAGAGACACAAGACAGATCACAAGCAATAACGGGGGTAACTCAGGTAATATGGAGACCCAGAGAAAGGCTGCAAAGTGGCGTGGGATCTTGATGGACACAAGGGACGCTTTCCATGTGGAGTAACGGACAGCAAGGGCACTCCTGTCGTAGGGGAGAGCACGAACAGAGGCCAACTGAGGTGGGACAGCCTGGCCGTCCATGGACTGAGGGATGCCATCATAACTGCAAAGAAGGCAGGAGATGTGGGGCTGAAACATGTGGGGCCCACAGACAGTGAGTGGCAGGGATTTAATCAGAGGGCAATAGGGAGCCACAGCAGGTGTTTGAGCAAAGGAGTGCAAGCTGGAGAGTGTGTGTTTAGGAAATGGGATAGAAGACAGAGAGGAGAGAGAAAAGGGAAGGAATGAGCAGCAAAGCCTTCCCTGCGTCTCACACTCCTGGTATTCTCGCTCTTTCCCGCTCTCTTAGAAGAATCCTAGCTGTGTGCCCTTGGCCAAAAGGTGGCACCTTTCTGGGCCTCAATGTCCTCCACTGGGATGGGGATGGTACTAGCAGTGACCCCCGAGACCCAGTTACAGGGAGAGGATTAAGTGGGACCTGGTGCTCCTGGGGGCTGGAGTGCAGAGCAGGGTCTCCAAGTGTGGGGGCGAGCGGGTAGTGGCTCTCTAGGCCTCATTTGGGGGGCAAGGTCTCGGTCTCTTCCACATCTGCGCTCATGCCTGCTGTCCAAGGCTCCATCCTCTGGGCCCTGCTGCTCTCCTCCCTCATCTTGATCTAGACCTTTGTCTTTCTCTCCCCATTGTCCCTCTCCCTCCCTATCTCTCCATCTCTCCTCTCTCTATTTCCACCCCCACATCTCTTTCCATCTCTCCCCCCGTCTCTCCAGCTCTCCCCGAATCTCTCCAGCTTTCCCCCCTCCATCTCTCCCTGTCTCTCCATCTCTCCCCCTGTCTCTCCAGCTCTCCCACTGTCTCTCCATCTCTCCCCGTCTCTCCAGCTCTGCCCCTGTCTCTCCAGCTCTCCCCCTGTCTGTCCATCTCTCCCCCTGTCTGTCCATCTCTCCCCCTGTCTGTCCTGCTCTCCCCCCCGTCTGTCCATCTCTCCTCCTGTCTCTCCAGCTCTCCCCCTGTGCGTCCAGCTCTCCCCCTGTCTCTCCAGCTCTCCCCCATCTGTCCAGCTCTCCCCGTTTCTCCAGCTCTCCCCCTCTGTCTCTCCATCTCTCCCCCCCGTCTCTCCATCTCTCCCTCCCCGTCTCTCCATCTCTCCCCCCGTCTCTCCATCTCTCCCCCCGTCTCTCCATCTCTCCCCGTCTCTCCATCTCCCCCCGTCTCTCCATCTCTCCCCGTTTCTCCAGCTCTCTCCATCTCTCCCCCTGTCTGTCCATCTCTCTCCCCTTGTCTCTCCAGCTCTCCCCCTGCCTCTCCAACTCTCTCCAACTCTCCCTGCCGCCTCACTCGCTGCCCCACCCCTCACCTCGGGCTCACTCGGTGCCCGCGCCCGCCGCCCCGGGCCCGGCCTCGAGCGTAGCGAGCTGCAGGCGCACGCGGCGGGAGCCGGCAGCGGGCGGCGGGGGCGCGCGGGCGGCACGGCGCGTTCCTAGAGAGCCGGGCGCGGCGCGCGGGCCGGAGGAGGAGGCCGGCGCAGACCAGCGGCGGGAGAGCTTGCGCGCCAGGCGGGCCAGAGTCGAGGGCCGCAGGCCGTAGTCGCGCTCGAGCTCCTGGCGCGAGATCTCGATGTTGCCGGTGTACCAGAGGATCCAGCCGAGCAGGCTCAGGAAGACAAGCAGCGCGCCCGAGTAGATGAGCAGGTCGCCGAAGTCGCGGCCGCGCACCTGCAGCTGCGCGAACACGCCGGTCAGCAGCGCCGCCATGCCCGCCACGTCCAGCGCCACGGCCAGCAGTAGCGCCATCCGGCAGCGGCCCAGGCCGGACGCCGGCCCTCTCGCGCCGGCCGGTGGGGACGGTGCACCCGGCGGGGGTCCCTGCGGGGCGCCCACCGCTGGCGCCGCTGCCATGGCCCTGCTCTGCCGCGCTGGCTCCCCCAGAGAACGTTCCGGGGTGCGGCCCGGCCCGGGGCGGGGTCAGGGGACGGCGCCAGGTGTGCCCGGCGCCGGCCTGGTCACCTGAGCTGGCTGGGGTGCACACGGGCCCGACTTGGGGGGTGCCCTGGCCTTGGTTTCTGGGCAGGTCCTGGCCCTCCGAGGCCTATGCTAGGGGCAGCCCGGCTCCCGGATAAGGGTGGGAGGGGCCTTACGTACACCAAGGAGCAAGATGGAATACATTTAAAAATTCAGGGTGCCTTAACGGAGGCAGCGTGGGGTGCTGCGGGAGCCCGGACGTTGTTTCTGTTCAGGGCCTGCCTCCAGGGGCCCCCTGCGCCCCAGGCCCCGCGGTGGGGACGGGGGGGGGTGTCAAAAAACAAGGATCAGACAAGGCTCCTGGACCCAGAGCCCCGGGACGCAGAGTCAGCAGGCAGGGCGCTCTAGTGGAGGAAACACGGGGCTCTGGGGAGCTGAGATTTCTCTCACTCATTGCCTGCCCCCTGGGGCCGCCCGTGCGCCCCTGGTTAAGTGGTGGCTCTCCCAGCACTCTGCGCGCCACCGCCAGATTTGGGTGCCGTGCTGGGGGCGGCAGGGCAGTCCCCCAGGCTTCTCCTAGTGCGTCTGGACGGCCGGGACTCACTAGGGGCGAAGCCCACGAGCAGAAGAGGGAGCAGACGAGGCCCCCGCCCTCACGGAGCTCCCGGACACAGTCACAGATCAGGTGCACTCGTGGGGGCCACAGGGGCCATGCCCCCCAAGCGCCCAGCCCCGTGCTGTCGGGGCCTGAAGACCCGCGGATATATCAGGCAGGGCTCCCGCCCCTTAAGAGGACCGCGACAACAGAAAATAACCTTCCGGGCAATTTATGGGGTGCCGCAGCGGGCAGACCGGAGGGGGAGGACGGGGGAAAGGCCAGCAGCTACGGCCCCCGGAAGGAACCGAGACCTTTCCCATGCAAATCTCTTCCCCTCCAAACGACTCGCTCCTGGAGGGGATCTACGCCCTCCTGGGGTGGAAGTCTGCGAGGAGATGCCGCCTAGCTTCTCTCCAGACTCTAAACCGTTTGAGATCACCGTGGGCAGGGCGACCCGAGACGTCTGCCGGGATCAGCCACAGAATTCCGAACGTGGCCGGATGGAAAACGAGTGTTTCCGAACAGACCCGAAAGGGCTTGAGCCAAGTAAAGAGGGCGGCCACCCAGCGGGAGGGCGTCTCCGAGGGGTTCCGAAGACGCCCGAGAGGGCCTCCGTGCCTTCGTCGGGAATACCGGAAGCATCCGAAGACCCTGGAGCTAGTCTTAAGTAATTCAGGCATCCGTACGTTCATTTGTAAAACAAATATTTATTGAGCGCCTACACTGTGTAAAGCGCTGGTGAGCAACCCTGGAGAGAAACCCCTGCGGAAGGGGACTTGGGGCCTCTCGAACCGGACGCACTCGGAAATCCAGCGCAGCAATTCCGAAACACACGAAGGTCCCTCGGAAGGGTGGTGCTCCGCCTCCGAGAACACACCCTCGGGTTACTAGCCGAAGAGTTCCGAAGGTCTCCGAGCGATTGGCGACAGGCTGGCGGAATAGCCGAACGTTACCGAGCCGCCTCGGAGGCGGACGGGAAGAGGCGGGGACAGGCGAGGGCATGCGCGTGCCCACAGAGGAAGCGGAAATGCGTGTGGGTATTAAAGGCGTCGCCCCGCCCTTTGTTTGCCTCTTTCCGTCTCCGGCTGCCGTAGCGAGAGGAGGTGAGCGCGCGGTACTCCGTCGCCCGCGTGGTTGCCTCATCTTCCCGAGGCCCGGCGCCTCTGCCCTTGCCTGGCCTTGGCCCTTGCCTGGCCTCTGTGGCCGCCCCCCGAGCCCGCCGCCGGAGGTCGCTGCGGCTTCTCACGTTCTCTTCCCCTGCATCCCCCGTCTGAGTTCAGCCCGCCGCCTGGGGTCGCCGTGCGCACTGCTGGTACCCCTGCTGGCCCGGTTACCGGTCACGCCCCTGCCGCGCGGGTGGGGCTGCGTGGTCCCGCGGCGGCCCGCTGCGGCGGCCCGCTGCGCCCTCTGACAACCTCCCCTGCCGCTCTTCCCGCAGCCGCAGCCATGTCCGCCCACCTGCAGTGGATGGTCGTGCGGAACTGCTCCAGCTTCCTGATCAAGAGGAACAAGCAGACCTACAGTACTGTAAGTGGGGCTCGGGCCCTGGGCCTGGGGCATCCCCCCCCCCGCCCTGCCTCACGGCCCCGGTGCGCCCTCCTTCCTAGGAGCCCAACAACCTGAAGGCTCGCAACTCGTTCCGCTACAACGGGCTGATTCACCGCAAGACCGTGGGCGTGGAGCCGGCGGCCGACGGTAAAGGCGTGGTGGTGGTCATGAAGCGGAGATCCGGTGAGCACCTACCTGCTGGGCGTCGCTCCGCCTCCGGTCTGCACGGCCGGCCAGAGGGGCTCAAGTAGAGCACTTAGCCCGGTGAAATCCGTGAAGCGGGTCAGGCGCAGGAGCTGTCCCCGGGGTCCCACAGGTGGGGGGGGCCTTCCCCCTGGCTCCCACTGGTGAGGACGGACAGGCTCGTTGTCCGTTTGAAGCAGCTGTAGTTGGACCCCCGGCCTGCTGTGTGCGTTCAGGAGAGGTCCCGCGAGTCCCGCCCCCACTGGACGGGCTTTTAGTGTCTTAAAGGGTCATGGGGATCCAGGAGCTTAGAGGCAGGTAGGCTTGAGTTCTGAGGTATCATGGCCCCACCAGCTTTGTTTTTCTCTGGGGTTTTCCCTGATCTCTCATCAGGGCTGCTTTTTTTTTTTTTAAAGATTTTATTTATTCGAGAGAGCACATGACAGGGGAGGGTCAGAGGGAGAAGCAGACTACCTGCTGAGCAAGGAGCCCGATGTGGGACTCGATCCTGGGACTCCAGGATCATGACCTGAGCCGAAGGCAGCCGCCTAACCAACTGAGCCACCCAGGCGCCCTAGGGCTGCTTTATGTTTGGGTTTGGAGCCCAGCACCCGTGCAGGGACAGCAGTGTCCATGACCTGGCTTTTGATCAGACTCTTGTCCACCCTGGAGGGGGGTTATCTTCCCTTGTCAGGTCACCAGTGAGTTCCTAGGGTTCTCACGCTCCTGAGAACACCGTTCTGGTGCTCTGGACCCGAAAACCTCACTTGCCCGTCTGGGGTTGTTGGGTGGCCTCTCCTGGGCTGTCAGGAACTGGACTGACCGTGTTCCTGGTCTGGGGTGAGGGACTGGTCCAGACCGACGTTGAAAGTCACTGGTATGGTGAAGGGTCCTTGGTTTTTGGGTGAAACCTTCCCCGCCTGTTATTTGGGGCACAGGACTCTCGCCAAGACCCCATAGATAGACTCCGTCCTACTTCACATCCTGAATGAGGCCCGCAGCTTTGCGCACAAGGAAGGGGTGCTCTTCTGATCCAGGGGCAGTGGGGCCCAGGCTCCACCTGTGTACAGATGTGGGGGAGACAGGTGCTTGCTGCAGGGCTCTTCCTCACCCTGGCCTTACCTGATGCCTTCCTGGCTCTCCAGCGTCCAGGCCCAAGCCTCAAAGCTTGTTTCAGACCCTTGTTCCACACAGGGTAGCTTGGGCCCTGGAGGGCAGGCAGGAAGAGACCAGAGCTACAGTCTCATGGGCACTTGCTGCCTGGCCAGTGTCCTGCCCTGGAGCCAGGCAGGCGGGCTGTGGTCAGATCACTGCTTTGTGCCTGTGACTCTGGACAAGAGTCCTCATTCTGTTGTTTCTGATTTGCTCTCTGAGAAATGACTTGATGAATCTTCTGTTAGGGACATAGGAGAAGATCCACTGCAGGCTTCAAGGCTGGGCCTGGCCTGGCCTGGGGCATTAAATGGGTGGATGGGGCCGACTGCAGGGAGTGGCCTGCCCAGGCTCACAGCCTAGGGGCTCAGGTACCCAGGGTGAGAGTGCACCATCAGACTCAACCCTGCCACCACCCCCAGGCCAGCGGAAACCCGCCACCTCCTATGTTCGAACCACCATTAACAAGAATGCCCGGGCCACCCTCAGCAGCATCCGGCACATGATCCGCAAGAACAAGTACCGCCCAGATCTGCGCATGGTGAGTGGGGGCCAGCAGTGGTTGGGGGAGCCTGGCCTGTCCTATGAGGAGGGTCTCTGCTGATGGCTGGACCCACACTCGGGTGTGGGCGGGTGTGCTGAGCCTTCTACCTGTCTGTCCAGGCTGCCATTCGCAGAGCCAGCGCCATCCTGCGCAGCCAGAAGCCTGTGATGGTGAAGAGGAAGCGGGCCCGCCCCACCAAGAGTTCCTGAGCACCTGCCCCTGCCTCTAAAGCAATAAAGATGTCAGCCTCCTCACCTGGGCCTCCCTCCTGTGCCATCCTGGGGCTCTGCCCCATGTGTGTGCGCCTGCGTGTCCCAGCAGGCGCCCCCCCCCCCAACCTGCTGTTACCATACGGGTCATAGTGTCTTGGGACTGGAGGAAGCAGGTCTGGGTCAGGGGAGCTCTGTCCCCGCATTCCTGCCTCTCAGGGATGGGGCTCGGTCCAGGTTCTTGAGTTGAATACATCAGAGGTGTGACCATGCAGCAGATGAGTCTGTGTTCAACAGGGTACCCCCACTATGGTCCTCACAATCCCAGTCTCTTTGTGGATACATACATGACTGTTTCAAGAAAGACCATTTAGAGCCCAAATCTAAGGGCTGGGGATCCAGGCCAAGGGTCTGCCTCCTGCGGCACCTGTGGCCTGTGCACGTGAAAGGGTGTGCTGTGTGGGGCTTCATCGCCTGGGACTGGGCTGTGGACCCGGCGAAGGGGGGGCGGGGCTGAAGACTGACAGAAGTGGGAAGCAGGTTGGGGCCGCTTCCCCCAGGGATTAAGGACTAGGCCCCCTCCAGGAGTGAAGTGGACGGAGCTGTGGGGCAGGAATGTACCCACCGTGAAGCAGGAGCTGCTGGTCTTGGGCATGGACGCAGCTCTGGAGTCCTCATGGGTCCAGACTTTTAAACAGCCTGT